GCCCTCCCCCCCCCAAAAAAAGACCTTCAATTCTCTCTCTCTCTCTCTCTCTCTCTCTGTCTCTGTCTTTCTGTCTGTCTTTCTGTCTGTCTGTATCTCTGTGCTTGTCTGATTCAGGCCAAGGGGTTCTGCTCCAGGGTGACCAGCTGGGCTTTTATCCAGGGTGTCTGTGAATTTCGTTGTATGTGCATATACTTACAATGACAATAAATTATTATTATTATTATCCACTGTGGCTGAACTGCAAGGGTGCTTGTCCTCTTTGTAGGTCATATTTTGTTTATATTTCAGCGTTGTCATTCTGAGCTGCCCAAAGCACCCTTTGCAGAGGGAACGTGGGATTTACGCCTGGGAAGACCATACGCGGGAGAGGCAGTGTGGTGGAGTGGTTGTAGAGGGTCAGGGCGGGTTCAGATTCACGTCTCCACTGAGCCACGAAACCTCCTCTGTGACTTTGTTTTGCTCTTGTTTTATGTGAATGACGGCAGTGGCTCACTTCACATTAAAAACCAATCAGTCCAGTCCGTGGTGGCTGAGGGGCCCGGTTGCTTTTTTAAAAGGGACCTCCCGGAGAGACCGGGAACAGGCAGATGGTTTCTGGCTAGAGAAGCCGTGGCAGACTCTTCCCAACCCTTTCCTTGCAGAGAACACCACGGCCGTCATGTCGAGCGAGGCAGAGCGGAAAGCGCAGCACTATTACCAGTCCTGCATGAACGAGACCAAGATTGAGGAGCTGAAGGCCAAGCCCCTGACGGACCGGATCCAGAAGGTATGAGGCCTCCGCTGCTCGGAGCCGAGCCCTGTCGCTCTTGGCGCCACGGAGAGTGGGCAAAACGGGTTTTTTCTTCTTCTTCTTGAAAGGCTAAGAGGAAGCCGGTGTTTGGACTTGTGTGAATTTCCAAGCACTCTTGCTAGGAATGTCAAGAGTGCTTGCTAAGTTCTTCGTTCATGGCCTGAAAAATGAGAGCTGGAGAAGCAGCCCCCCCCCGGTCCTTTCTCCTGGCCCCTCTCCAAACACCCCCCCCAAGAGTCTCTGTAATTCGTGCAAAATGCAGCTGTGCAGTAACTCGCCTTTTGAGAACCAAGAGCCCTGAAAGGAGAGAAGGTGGTTTCTTGCAAAAGAGGACTCTGTTCTCCTGGGGAAAAAAAGCCCATGGATTCAGGGGGGGTTCTGCTGTCGTTTGCCCCCCCCCCTTGGACACGGTCTGCTTGTCTCCTGAGGTGACCAGTGGAGGGGTGTGTTTGTGTGGACTGGACTGATTGCTTTGTGCATGCGCCCGCTGATTTGTGTGGCTTTCCCCTCCTTCCTCTAGCTGGGTGGCTGGAACATCAGCGGCTCTTGGACCGAGAGGGACTTCAATGAGACGCTGCTGGAGGTCCACGCCCATCATCACATCGCCCCGTTCTTCTCCATCTATGTGGGCGCCAACTCCAAGAATTCCAGCAGCAACATCATCCAGGTGGGTGGAGGAGGCCCTTGCAGGCGCAGGCCTGTGGGGAGAGGGCGCGAGGGGGAGAGAAGCCGCAGGTCGGTGTTCACCTGACAGGAAATTGGAGGGATGGATTTATGACCAGGGAGACTCGTGGGTTGCCTTTTGAAGGCCCAACGATTCTCCCCTCCCTTCCTCAGCCCGAATGCTGTGGCTTCTTCCCTTTCTGTTCCCATTTCTCTTTCCCCAGGTGGATCAGTCAGGATTGGGCCTCCCTTCCAGAGACTATTATCTCAACAAGACGCAGAACGAGAAGGTAAAATGCTCAGCTCCTGCTTGGAGCCTCGTTTCATGTACAGATCATGTAGCTCTGGAAAGGAAAGGAAAGGAAAGGAAAGGAAAGGAAAAAGGAAAGGAAAGGGGGGGTCGGGGTCTCGGGCCCCTTCCTCACGGCAGCAGGCCGGAGAGCTTGGCCGGGTCTCCTGGCATCGGCTCCAGCCGCAAACGCCGGCTCAGGACCCTGGACCTGCCGGGATTTTCTTGAACCGAATCCGGGGCCAGGGGTGGTGGCGGTTCTTGGACACGAATCTCTCCGCCCGCAGGCCTCCTGAGGGGACCCCAAAGGCTTCCCCTGCTGGAAAGGGAACCCCGGGGAGCCTTGGAACCGGGGGGGGAGGCGGGATGTGGGGGGAGGGAAATTAAAGGTAGAAGCCTGTGGCTGAGGCCGTGGAGCGGGGCCAACAGGATGCCCGTCAGCGAAAACCGGGGGAGGGTTTCTGTCCAGAGCCTCGGCTCTCCTGAAGACCTCTTCTGTCCCTCCCGGCCGTGGTGTGGGCGGACGGCCCCCCTCCCTGCCCGTCGGCTGCATCCCTTGCCCGCGTCTGAAACGAGGCTGCTAACCCGAGTCTTCGTCCTCTTCTTCCCGTGGGGGGCGACGCAGGTGCTTGCCGGTTACCTGGACTACATGGTCCAGCTGGGGATGCTGGTGGGCGGGCGGGACGAGGCCTCCACGCGGCAGCAGATGCAAGAGATCCTGGACTTTGAGACCTCCCTGGCCAACCTCACCATCCCGCAGGAGAAGCGGAGGGACGAGGAGTCCATCTACCACAAGACCACGGCCGGGGAGCTCAAGGTGAGCAAGGGAAAGAGGGCCGGACCCGTGCGCGTACACACTTTTGTGACGGGACATGTGGGGGGGGCGTGCAGAGAGGGAATCACCAGGCTGTCTTCGGTTTTATGTGGAGAGGGGTGTGGGCATCACTGAAAGGGTCCGGGTGGACTCTCTGTGCAGACTCTTGGGGGGGAGGGAGGGAGGCCTTTCCCACTTCCTTAGGATGAGCTTCCGAGATATCCAGAGAACTTTCGCTCACTCTCTGTTTGCATTTACCTTGATCCCCACCCCTGCTGCTCCCTTGGGCTGGGGTAGAGAGGAGCTGACTTGGTGTGGTTTCTGTTCCTTTCCGGCCTTCCTCCTCCTCCTCCTCCTCCTCCAAAAGAGCCTGGCCCCTGCAGTGGACTGGATGCCCCTCCTCGAGGCCTTCTTCTCCCCCACGGAGATCAACGAGTCGGAGCCCGTGGTGGTCTATGCCAGAGAGTACCTGGAGCAGGTCTCCTCCCTCATCCTCCAGACAGACAAGCGGTGAGCGGCGGCAGTGGCAGCGGGAAGGTTGGGGCCCACCTTGAACCAAGGGCCCAGCAGTGGCAGGATGGCCTGCCTGCCTCTTGGTCATTTCTGTCTCTCTCCGCACCACCACCACCCCCGTACTCCCCCACACCCCCAAGTGATCTGGCTCAGAGCAGAGGCGGAGAGAGGGGCTGAGGGTTCCCCGTTCTCTTCGCCCCTCCAGGATCTTGCACAACTACATGATCTGGCACCTGGTGCGGAAAGGAGCCACCCTTCTGGACCAGCGCTTCCAAGACGCAGAGGAGAAGTTCATGGAGATCATGTACGGCTCAAAGAAGGTGAGGAGAGAAGACGCACGGAGGCCTCGCTGCCTGGGACGGCCGGATGGGGAGGTCGGAAGAGGACGGTGAAGCGACCTGCTGCAGGGGTGGGGGCTGCGCGCCTCCCGCCAGAGCCATGCAGGTCGAAACGTTCCAAACGCCCGTCCTGTTCTTCCGCAGACCTGCTTGCCGCGCTGGAAATACTGCATCACCGACACGGACATTAACCTGGGTTTTGCTCTGGGCGCAATGTTTGTGAAGGCCACGTTTGCCGAAGATAGCAAGGCGGTCGTAAGTGCCGACTCTCGGCCCTTTTCCCTGCACAGCGTGTGTCCCTCCCCCTGCTCCCCTGGGGGGCCTGAGGGCGAGGTGCTTTCCTCCCGGCCAGGGATGTGTGGATCCTCCAAACCATGCTTTCGGTCCGGCTTCTTGTGCTCAGCAAAGCCCCACCCCACCCCAAATCAACCATGATGGGATGAGTCTGCTTTGTGTCTCTCCCTCCGGCCTCCCTTGCGCTCTGGGGAGCTCCTCACTGGGTCAAGATGGGCCCGAATCACTCCCGGCCCCTCCATGCAAAGTAGCTCAGGAGGCACCATTCTCCCAAACCCTCCCCCCCCCAATCCCTGGGCTGGCCATGCCACTTCTCTTTTGTCCTTCACCTCTGGGGGCGCTCCGGTCGGGGCAGGAGCCTGGGCTGCTGGTGGGTCCCCTGCCTCCTCAGGCAGCTGACCGCTCGGAGGCAGAGGCAGGACGGGGACTTGAGCCCATCTTGATGGGTTCATCTCCTCACCACCACCACAACCCTGTGAGGTAGGCCGGCCAGGGGTGGGATAAAGAGACCGCCCCATGGTTGCTGAACGGGTTTTCGGGGCTCCCTGGAGGGCAGGGGCTTGGGAATCTCCAGGTGCCACACTGCCCCTCTTTCTGGGGTGTCCTGCTCTTCCCCACCCTAGTGGCTTTGCCAGGCACGCCCGCCCTCCCTGACCTCCCCTCTCCTGGGGGGTGGCTTCCTTCACGAGGCTTTTCTTGCCAGGCCGAGGAGATGATCTGGGAGATCAAGAAGGCTTTTGAGGAGAGCTTGGACCAGCAGGCGTGGATGGACGAGGAGACCCGGCGTTCCGCCAGAGAGAAAGCCAACGCCATCTACGACTTGATTGGGTACCCCAAGTTCATCATGGACCCCAAAGAGCTGGACAAAGTGTTTAACGATGTGAGTTGAAGCAGGAGGGGCTTCGGGAGGGGCTGCCCCACCTCGGCCGAGACGTCCCCCCCTTCCCCACAACCCCGATTCTGACCGTTTTGCTTTTCCTTTCCTTTTTTTTTTTTGGCAGTACGAGGCCACGCCCGACCTCTACTACGAGAACGTCATGCAGTTCATCAACTTCTCCTCCCGCGTGGCTGCGGATCAGCTCCGGAAACCCCCGAACCGGGACCAGTAAGTTGTAAAGTACCAAAGGGGTGGCTTTCGGGGGGTGGATCAGGCCCAAGGGTTCTTCCTGCCTTCCTTCGAGGCCGGTGGGATGGCATGAATCGGGTGAAAACTGGGAGCCCACTTTTCAAAAGCTTTTATAAGTAACAGGAACCAACTGCTTTTTAAAAAGTAACTTCCCAAGTTAGGAGGCAGCGAGAGAGATCCGGGGGAACGGCTGAGACGGAGGTCTCTGCTTTCCTTGTGACCTGCTGCCCCCTGCAGGACAGAGGGCGCACTGCAAGGAGGCAGGTCCCAGTGGAGTTTTTAACATCATCAAAAGGGTCTGGGTATGACCATCGTGCAAATAAAATGGAGGGCAGCAGCCGGCCCTCCTTCCCGCTCCTCCCAATGACATTTTGGAAAGCAGAGGAGGGGCCTCCTCTACAGCAGGAGGTCTAAGCATCACATAGATCCACCCTGGCCTGATCCAGAGCGAGGAGAAGTGGTTTTCCGCTCCAAAACGTCCCGCCTGTTTCTGACCGGAAAGGCCCGTTCCGTGCTGTAGAACAGGGCTGGCGCAAATGGTGGTTTGGTATGGGCTGTTTTGGATGTTTAAGGATCCAGGCTGGAGAATGAGGTGGCCGTTGAAGGCTGTGGGAGAGCATGGGGTGCGATCACAGCCCTTTCGTGAAAGATCAAAACTCATCCTAAGCCGAGCAAGAGAGACAGAGAGGCAAAGGGGAAGGCTTGGGCCTTCCTTGGTCGGGTATATGTGTGTGCTTAATCTCCACGTCACAGCCTCTCTCTCTCTCTCTCTCTCTCTCTGGGGCTCACTTTCCTGCAGGTGGAGCATGACTCCTCCGACGGTGAATGCTTATTACTCTCCGACCAAAAACGTGATCGTTTTCCCGGCTGGGATTCTGCAGTCTCCCTTCTATACCCGGAACTACCCCAGGTACAAAAAGTGCTTCTTCTTTTTTTCTTTTTCTTTTTCTTTCCTGTCTTCAGATATTCATGCTCCGGGAAGGGAAGGGCGATAGCACAGCTTACTCCTTTTCCTCACCCCTCCAACATAGCCCCGGCTGCTGCTCCGGAGGCAAGGGAAAGCTTCGCTAAGATGAAGGGAAGTCACGTCCAGGACGTTTCTCACAAGGGCGTTGTCTGCTCTGAAACGCTGGTAGTCCCAAGAAGTTGGAAATGGGACCGTAAGACGGGCCAAACCATCTGCTCGGATCTGGATCCAACTAGTCCCAGTTAGGTTTCTTACTGTCCTCCATGGGCCTCCAGGTCTCTCACTGCAGCTGTTCTGGCACCCAAAATCCACCGCTGGGTTTTTTCCTCTTGGGAGGTGAATGTTGATGAACATTCTGCGGCTTCCCAGGAACTCAACACATGGCCAGAGCAGCTCAAGGAACGGACTGCCAAAAGCCAGGCTGTTAGTGCGCCTTGGGAAGGAGGTGCATGTGGAGGAAAAGCAATCCCATGCTTTTCTGGAGAGGATGACGAGCGTGTCATGGAAACGAGCAGGGTTGGTTCTTATTTGCCTCTAGTACGTAGACCTTTATGGCCTGTGGCGAGGACGGTTATCTTTAGGGTTTGTCTTACTGGATGGTCGATTCGAAAAACTGGCAGGGGTTTGGTTAACTATTCTCTTTTTAAATTCCCTTCTTCTGAAATAGAGCACTTAACTTTGGTGGGATTGGCGTTGTGGTCGGCCACGAACTGACTCATGCATTTGACGATCAAGGTGAGGAACGATCCCCTCTTCTCTCCTCCAGAGGCTTTGCTTTTCTCCGTAACATTTTCCAGCTCTCTGAACTGGGTCAACAAGTTTTGCCTCTTCTTCAAAACTTCCCATTTGGGTTTCTCTTGATGGCGAAGGGCCCAGACTGACACTCTTAAGCCAGAGATGGGCAAACCATGGCCTTCCAGAGGCGGTTGGACTACAGTGGCTAGTAGATCTCTCTGCCGTAGTCAGTGGTGGAGGATGATGGGAGCTGGAGTCCATCTGCTAGAGGCTCATGGGTGCCCATCCGTCCTCTGGGTGTGATTTCTCCCTCTGTTTCTCTCTTGGGTCCTTTTAAGGAGAAAGGTGGGGCAAAAATATTTTAAATAAATAAATAAAATCCCCCCTGCTCTCAGTAGAGAACAGTGCTTGGTGTGGCCCTTGGGCTAAAGCTCTCTTTGATTTCATTTGTTTTTTTTGGGGGGGTTCCAACCATTTGCGTATGTGTGTCTGTCCGTCTCTAACTCTCACTCACTGCTGTTGGTGTGGCTATTCTGGATTCCTATTTTTTTCTCTCTGCTGGTGTTATTTTTTTGGGGGGGTATATGTTTCCTCCTCGTTGCTGTCGGCTGCCACCGGCTATTTCCTAAGGAAGGCATGGGATGATTTCAGAAGCAAATCCCCTCTTCTGTCTCCTGGCCCCCTGGTGCTCCCCTCGCAGGTGGGGGGCCCTTATGGGATGTGGAGAAGCGCTTCTCTTCCTGACAGCTTCCTCTCTCGGTCGTCCCCCCCTGCCCCCCCCGACCTCCTTGGTCCTTTGCTCAGGTCGAGAGTATGACAAGGACGGCAACCTCCGGCCGTGGTGGAAGAACTCCTCGGTGGAGGCCTTCAAGCAGCGGGCCGAGTGCATGATCGAGCAGTACAGCAACTACAGCATCCACGGGGAGGCCATCAACGGCAGGCACACCTTGGGGGAGAACATCGCCGACAACGGAGGGCTCAAGGCGGCCTACCGGGTGAGATCTCGGGGGACGCGGCTTGAGCTGCGGAGCGTCCGTGTGGAACCCCTCAAGGCTGTGTTCTGGAAGGCCACGCTGGTGCTCGGGGCATGGAGGTGGGGGCTGGGAAGGCTGCCCCCCGCCTGCTCCCCCCCACTCAAGACCCCCTCTCTGACGCCTTCCCCTCGCAGGCCTACCAGAACTGGGTGAGGAAGAACGGAGCCGAGAGGACCCTGCCGGCGCTCGGCCTCACCAACGACCAGCTCTTCTTCATCGGCTTCGCCCAGGTACGTTTTGAGGGCTGAGGGAACCTCCAGCCGGCTGCTACCTGGGAGCGGACATGGTTCACGAGCAGAGTTTTGGCTCCAGTGCTGCAGTTTGGCCCCTGCGCCAGGAGGCTCTCTCTCTCTCTCTCTCTCTCTCTCTCTCTCTCTCTCTTTATTTATTTATTATTATTTAACAAGGAGTGACAAAAAGGAAAAGGGGAATTGAGGTTAAATGGGAAGAGGAGAAACAATAAGATACTAACGTCCATTCTATACATATTGCCATATCAAAATTCCAAATTACTCTTTTTACTATTTTGTGCCTTCCAGATTTAAGTTCTCATTTCAATATATGCTCTTCATACGCTGCCTGTTGACTCAGTCCATTTGTAGAATAAGTCCCATCTTTCTGTTGCCTTTTGTAAAGGACAGTCCTTCATCACTTCTGATAAAATGTCCATTTCCGCTGTTTCCCATATCTTCTCTATAAGATCTTGTTTCGGTACCGTCGGACTTTTCCAATTTTTGGCATAGAGAATTCTGGCTGCAGTAACTATGTATATAACTATATATTCCTTTGTCTTATCTATGTTATCAGGTATCATACTCAGTAAAAACAGTTCTGGGGTTAATGACACCTTACAAAGCAATATTTGTTGCAACGCAGCATGTACTCTTTTCCAAGACTGTTTCACTACTCTACATGACCACCACATATGATAATAGTTTCCCACTTGTGCTTCACATTTCCAACACACATTTGATACATCTATTTACATCTTTGACAGTTTTTCTGGAGTCATATGCCACCTATAAAACATCTTGTATATATTCTCCTTAAAATTAGCCGATCTTGTCAGCTTTATATTATTTTGCCATATCTTCGACCATTGATTGATATCAATATTATGCCCTATGTTTTGTGCCCACTTAATCATACATTCTTTAACCATTTCATCTTGCATTTAAATTTCCCAGGAGGCTCTCTTTAAAGCGTGCTCTGGAGGTCTCATGCCATCAAGAACAGGCTTGAGCGCTCCCTACCCGAAGGGGCTTCCACTCTCGGGACGTTTCCCTGAGGGAAACTTACCTGAGACAAGAGTAAAGAGACAGGAAGCGTGAGGATTGCAGAGGCTTCCCGGGGACCCTGCAGAGTTCACTGGAGAGGACGTTCGCCTGGCAGAAGGCCAGAAGAGACGCCCCTTAAAAAATTAAGGCTGGAGTAAATGCTTGAGTTGCATCATTTAGCAACTCCCTCACACTGTTCCTAAATGGATGGTTGCCCTCCTCCACTGAGAGGATGATGCAAAAGTGTACGCAGAGCTGGAGTGAGGGACGTCCCAGCGATTATAAGTGGGTTGCTTTCTCTTTCTCTGGGTGGGTCTCTCTCTCTCTCTCTCTCTTTTAGTCCTGCCAAACTAAGTTTTCTTTTCTCCATCCAGAGACTGAAGAAGAAGCTTCTGAGTTTGTCTCCCCCCCTTTTCCCCCCACCCCCCTCTCTCTCACACAAACACGCCTCTTTTATTTGTCCCCTCCCAGGTGTGGTGCTCCGTCCGGACCCCCGAGAGCTCCCACGAGGGACTGGTCACCGATTCCCACAGCCCGTCTCGCTTCCGAGTCATCGGGACTGTCTCCAATTCCAGGGAGTTTTCCGAACACTTTCAGTGCCCGCCGGGCTCCCCGATGAATCCGCTGCAGAAGTGTGAAGTCTGGTGATAAACGTTTTCTTTTATCCTGACCCCCAAAGGATTCAAAAAGGGAGCAAGAACACGGGAAGGGGAAACCCGAGCCTGGGAGAGGCACATTTTAGCCTTCCTCCTTCCAAGAAGCAAACGGTAACTCGGGGGCCTCGTTTCGGGAAGGATTCTGCTTACGGAGCGGCCCCGCCGTTGTTCAGTGGAGAGCCGTCTCCGTGGCTCCAAAGCGCCTGATTTTTCATCCACTGTGAAAAAGCCCTCTCAGTTCCCTCGTGAACTGCCTGGGTAGGTTTCCTTCATTTTCTCCTGCATATTTTTTTCCCCTCACCTGGACACACAATTCCTTTTGCACAGGCAAGTCAGGGTCCGTTTTAAGCTGTGCTGACTGATCTTCACGCGGTGGTGCAGGGCCAGGGGACTCGTGTCTGGCCCAGCCTTAAGCAGCTCTCTCCATGTTGTTTTCCTCGCTCAAAGGGAGAACCACCCAGAAAACTGACTCTGTGCCAACTGTTCCCACACCACCCCTCTCTGTAGACACAGAACGCCCGCCTTTGGCTGGTGTCACACAAACATCAATGCACCAAAACTTGTTTTGTTTTGTTTGTTTTTAAATCTTGCAGAACACTGGAGATTTCAGGGAAAATGTATTGAGGTTTTTATATCTAGAATTATATCTATAAACCGAACAGATTGTTATATTTATTACTTTTTTTCTTCGAGTAACTATGTGGGTCAAGAGGCTTGGCCTTACATCCAAAGGGTGGGACTCAAGGGGGGGGCTCCGTCTTCTTCTCTCCGACCAGCAGCAGCACCGCCCAAACGTTAGAAAGCACACTCCTTTTGGTATCCCTTCAGTGGGAAGACGGACTGACAAGAGTCCCTGAAACTTGCTTGGCTTTTTAACTACCATCTGGCACGATTACGTAGACTTAAGTTTTCCACAGTTCATCTGGGGGATTATGGGACTTTTTGTGCGAAGAATCAGTGTTCCTGAGCTCTGTTCCTCAGGCGAGGATGATGAGGACAACTCCTCCAGCCCACATCAGTTGGTAGCATCCTAGAGCAAGGCTTCTCCACCCGACGCTGGGCTTGGAAACAGGGGGGGTGGGGTGTCTCCCTCGAAAAGACCTGACTTGGCTTGGGAGGCTCACCCTTATCACCAGGGCCTCCCCTGGTGGCCTTCAACCGCCGGCCTGTCCTCGGTGCCCTTCCCCCGGGTGGTGATGCCGCCTCTCCTGCGGCCTCTCCTGCCAGGAAGACGACCCACCTGGTGGGATACTGCATCCATCCCAAGAGGGGACGTTGTTGCTGCTGCTGCATGACGGGTGTCCCACCAGCAGTAGGTCTGGGTTTGTCACATTGATGTTGTTGCTGCTGCTGCATGATGGGTGTCCCACCACCCAGCCTCACCTTCGCGGCGTATGCTCTTCCATGGGGCGGCAGAGGGGGTCAGGGACATCCGACATCTGCGGCCTCTGCTTCTTCTGCAGGGGGAGGCCGTTCTGGGTCAAGGGCACGACGCCCACGTCTTCGGCTCCAGGATCACTGAAGAGAGAGGGCCGCCTCCTGGCGACGTCCCGGCGAGTGTTCGCGATGCTCTTTCTGGGTGGCGTAAGGCCAGGCCCTCCTCGTTCCACCAGCAGCCCCTCTGTCCCCAAGCGCGGTGTCTGATCCACCCCAGTCCCTGATGAAGTTTCGCCTTGTGGCCTTAATTGGGTGGATTTCGAAAGGGGAGAAGAAATTGCCTGTGGAATCTTTAAGAGCTTCATTCCCGCCCCTGGCAAGTCTTTTAGCCATGGAGTCTGTCGCTGTCGTCAGGCACGTTTCGGAGGCGAGACGACCCCCCGAAGCTGTGCGGATGACCCTGAAATGCTGGCTTCCATGGTGGGGCTCCGTGGAGTGGGAAGAACCACGGCCAGCCGGCGGCTCTTTTTCCTCTTTCGCCCCTCGCAGTCTACGAGAGGGAGCTGGAGCTGAGCGGAGACCAAGAACCCCTGGAGTCCATGACGACGACAACGACGATGATGATGATGCCAGCTGTTCTGGAGGAGCAGAAACCTATCAGTCCTCTTCCTCTACACTGGGCCTCCCGGTCTCGCGAGTGCCTCAAGGACTGGAGGAGTGTGTGCGCATGCGCACCGGCTTTTGAAGCAATGCAGTTAGACCACAGAGTTGAGGGGGCCCCCGAGGCAGAGCTGCGATTCCTGGAGGCCCGGGACCCAACGCCGCCCTCACACGCCTGCTTTCCCTCTGGATGGAACCCCCACTTCATAACACGAGCCATGGATGAACCCTCCCGAGAGGGTTGGCTCTCCGGCTGTCATCTGTTCCAGCTGGCGTTGCTGGGAAGTTGGGGATGATGGGAGTTGGAATCTGTCAAAAGGAGGTGGGCTAGACCTTTCCTTCTCCAGAAGGAACAGAAAGCATGAACTGAGTGGATAATGGATCATGTTGGGGCAGCTGAAATGGCTCCCTCGTGGGCTCAGGACCCCTACGGCCTGAACCTGGTTGTGGTTCCCAACCAGAGTAGACCCATGGAGTCGCTGCGAACTGAAGGGAGTCAACATTTATCTTGGTTCTGTTGAATCTATGGGTCTGCTCTGGTTGGGGATTAACAGTTGGATTTAGACTTTGGTCTTACTTCCCTCCAGCTTCTTTCCTCCTGGAGGTCTTTGAAGGCTGCCTTCCCTCTATTGTGTGGGTTCAAGCCCTGAGCGCCAGCTGTGGTTCGGTTCCATTCTCTCCGTTATCCTGGACCGTGCCCTGTCCTGTAGAGGTGCCTGCCTATGGGAAGGGAGCCTGGGGAGGTGCCCCAAAGGCCAGAGGCCCCCCCTTCCCACCGGCGCCATGTGTGATGCTTAGGGTTCCTTCCCCTCCCTCATCTCCCCCTTTTGGGTTCCTCCCTGCGCGGAGACAGATTTTTTCCAGCTGTGCAGCCTGCGCTTGGTCCTTGGAGCCAACAGGAACAGGGGCTGATCGCTTCAAGATGTGCTGCTGTGTTTCTGATTGTGGGAGGGGGGGAACACCCTGTAGAACATGGCTCCCCCCCTCCAAAGCCCCAAAGGAGAGAAATGGAGCTGCATGCCCTCCACCCCAGAGGGGGCTTTGTAATCCTCCCGAGGTGTGTGTTAAGCCCAGCGTTTGACCGGTGCCACTGAATGGGGAAGGGCTTGGAACCTCTTGCTGCAAAGGAAGATCTCAGAGGAAGAATCTTGTCATCATCCTTACGGGTGGGGTTGAGGGAAGTGGGGGGGAGGAGCGTGGGCTCTTTAGCATCGTCTCCCCGTGTTCTGGCACGATCGTCATGTTTAAATAAAAAGTTTGTATTGGCTTTCCTACGACAGGGTTTCTGCCAGATTTTTGGTGTGTTCTGCGTCTGCTTCCTCCCAGGCCTGGTTGGCCTCCTTTCCAGGGAGCTGGTGGTGGTGGTGGGGAAAGCTGCCTTTTGCCAAGCCCTTGGACACCGCGCTTCAGGACTCACATCCTGGGATTCACCATTTGACCAGTTCTGGGCTTCAAAGGGAGTGAGGATGGTTCAGGACTTCTTTCCGGTTTTTCCAGCAACCTTCCAGGTGGGCCAAGCAGAGGCGGCTGCGCTTGGTGGCTCGGCAGCGGCTTTTGAACCGGAGCCTGTTTATCGAAAGGAACCGAACCGCCTTCCTGCAGCCGTCGGCATCAATCTGTCCCTGTGGACGCCGCTTGGCTGGCCCTCTTGAAGTGGCCTCCTCGCAGACCGCAGACCAGAGCAGGGGTTTTATGGATCGCTCGCTCGCTCGCTCTGCCTTTCTGCCCTGCTTTCCCTCGTTTGTTGTCCCTCAGGTGACAGCTGGAACCTGCCTCGTTTCTCATGATGTGACCTGAGAGTTCTAGCTTCCAGCATTTTTATATCTGTTTTATGATTTTGCCATTCATTTCCTTAAGATCTCTGTGCCGCTCGCCTGCATCAGAGAAACTCCAAATGATTCTACATTCCAAAAGCTTCATTTAAAAAAAGAAAGGCACCTAGGCTGATTGATGTCTGTGATTGGGTACCATACAATAGAACGGAGGATACGTAACCGTGCGCTGTAGTCGTTCTCAAAGCCAGCTTGAACTTTTTTTGTTTGTTCGCCCTAAGGAAGCTGGAGCTGCCTTATGCTCCTTGACAGTTATTTCGTGGATTTTGTGAGTGCAATAAATAAAAGACCCACGAACATGAGAATTTTTGTTTGGATTTTTGGGGTGGGGTGAAAGAGAATGGTGGATGCTGGCTTCCCTCCCTTTTCTGTGGGCCGTGTGTGCTTTCTACTAAGCAGGCGTGTAAAATGTGTGTAGCATGTTTTGAGGAAAGCATGAGTGCCTCTGAGGGCGTCCAGAGGGTGCCCTGTTTTGGTATCCCCTCATCCTTGCCTGCTTCAAATTTAGGGGATAAAGGAAGGAGGCCTCTGGGGCAGAAGATTTCCTTCCCAGATGGCTGGCAGCCTTCTGGCCGCAGCATTCTGCACCACCTGTAAATGTACAGTAAATAAATACAGTAAAAGATAAAGGATGTGACAGCCAGGTGGCAGCACATCCCTGCACAAAGTCCACTGCCTTTCCCCCTTCTCCCTTATTAGATCAGCGGCCCCAGGGAGAGGGCCCGGCCAGCCAAGGGCCATCCCTCCAAAGGCTTATTTCTTTCCGACGGCCTCCCGGCCCTTTCCCTCTTTGGCCAAACAGTGCGTGAACCCACAGGGGGGGGGAACCCATTCTGTACCCCAAGGGCGTTCCCACGGCCTCGGATGGAGGTGGCACCCTCTGGGTGGCTCTGTCCCCATCGCCCTGGACACGCTCGCTACTGGAAGGGTGCAGAGATCTCTTGCCTTTTGACTACAAATCCCAGAAGCCCTGACACATAGCATAGCTTTTGCGGGGAAGAGGATGTCAGCCCCCTGACCAGTTTTCCTTTGCAAAAAAAAAAAGACATTGAAATGATCAGGAAAATGGCCTAAAAAAAAAAAAAAAAGAAAGAAAAAAGGACATTGAAATGATCAGGAAAATGGCCATCTCTGCCTGTGTGTGTAGGGTGTGTGTCAGTGTGTTGTTTTCCATGCCTGTGGGTCTGCGCCGTGACTAACTGGCCCCAAAGGGTGTGAGGGTGTTGGCCCGAAGGGGGAATTGAGAGCCCCTTTGACCTCCATGGGCTTTTGGCAGGCCACGAGAGAGGCTTCACTGCGGGCCACGTGGGTGGCGGGCTCAGCGCCTCCAGCAAAGCCAAAGGTCACCCACCGGCACTTTTTGGGCGAGAAAGAAAACGGCACAATCTGTACCCCCCCCCCCGCCCAGCTCCGGTGGCACCGGTGAGCTTCCTGGGCTTGACCAGTCGCCCCAGTTGTGCATTCCACTCACACGTTGATGCCAAATGCAATCTGCTCCATGTCAGGGATCAATAGGGGACACTCTCGGGATACTTATCAGCTGACCATAAACTTTTTTTAAAAAAAGAGGAGGCACATCATCCTTGCACCCCCATATATGCAGACTCCCTCAGAAGCCAGCTTCCTTGGCTTTAGCGGGAATAAAAGTAATGACAATAAACACTTAAGTTTAAAAAAAAGGTTTGTTATCATTAATTATTGTTGCTAGTAATTTATGCTAACAATAACAGTAACGATAAGGCACGCTTCTTAGGGCCATGGGCTTTCCTCTCCTTGGTCGGCTCTGGGCGGAGTTTCCGAGCTCTT